TAGAGTAAGATGATACAATACAAGGAAGAATGACAAACTACCAAAAAGAATCAGAATGTCTAAAACTAAACCTAACTAAATTATCTGCACAACCATTATCTTTCCTATAAACATGATTATGTTGTTGATCAAAATAAAAAAAGTCAAATGTCATGTTTAAGTCTTGTAAATAAAAAATGGAGAGAAAAGATCTATGATATGAGTGATCAATCATATTTTTAAATAGAGTTAGTCATAGAAAAATTACACTAATATCAAGAGTGATCTATGAAGAGTGATCATGGTTCTCTTTTGGGCTTCGTGTGTTTGTGCTTTGAATAAATGGGAGGTGATGGACCCATCTTTAAGGTGTCAACAATGTTGTGGACCAAAAATCAAAAGGAACCAATGCAACAATCTTTAAAATACTAGAAGTTTCCGTGATCTTCGAGTTGAGGTCGGTGAATAATTAACAACTCACCTTTATCTTTTAGTTGGTCACCGTCCATCAATTCAAACATAAAATAATTTTTTTTGTCATTTATTAAGTTCTTTATACACAACATCTATCTCCGAACACATGTACATAGATCAATCGATGTAAAATTGTTCAAGTTTATTAATGATATAGTATAAATTGCATTAAATATTTGGATTTTTTTAATTATTTACAATAATTTTATCCAATTTTAATAAAATTGTCTCTAATATTGTGTGAGATAGCTTCCAGAATTGATGTCATGCTACAAGTAATAGAGTGGAAGAAAGGGTACACGCAATTAAAGGCTTTAACTGCCAAATGTTATTATCATTGTCTTCTCTTAAAGGAGCAATGCCCCTAGTCATAAGGGGTGGTAACCTTTTCCCACTGGCACTTTGCAATATCCATTATTTTTCTTATCCAAATATTGGAATGCCACGTGTCCCAAATTTGAGATTTTTATTTATTTATTTATTTTTATTTTTTAATTATTCTCCATCACATTACATTCAACATTCACTCTTGACTCAACAACTGTTCTCAACGTATCCTAACTGCTATAAACTAACCTAACCTCTCTTTCTCTCAGCCACGTGCCTTTGGTCTTTTGTTTAATGAAATTCTAGATGAAATGTTTTCTATTTTCAAAATCAAAATAATATCATAACTCATAAGTTGTTACGAAAACAAAGTAAGACGAACCTTTCTCTTGTTTATGTAATAGAATCCTTGACTTCCTTATAAAAAAAATATATATATAAAGAAGAAAAAAAGCTCAGGATCCTTCTCCAGTGGATAATATTTTGTTTGTAATTGTTATAGTTATTAGTTAGTAAACAAATGTAAAGTATGTGAAAATTCAATTGCACATCTCTAAAGTAATGCAATCCTTAATTAATACTTTTTTAAAAATATTTTCAAGGATGTAAATTAATTTAGTATTGCACTCTTCAATTTTCAATAAATGGAACCAGATTAGGGACTTTCATAGTATGAATTTTTTTTATAGGGTTTCTAGTATGATATATATATATATATATATATATATATATATATAAGTTATAAGTCTCAAACATAAATAATCTCAACAAATTTTACTTTATTTTGATAATATTGTCCAAAATTACCATTTATTTAATTGAGATTTATTTTTAATACTAAATTCTAATGAAATATAGTTTAAAAATATGTTATATTTTAAATAAAAAGTTAATAATTTTAATTGAATTGAATTTAGTTATTTATTTTTCTTATATTCACTATTAAAAACAATATTTTTTTTGGTAAAAATAAAAAAGATTACAAAAATTGAAAGTAGAATAAATAACTAAATATTATATTTGATCTTGAATATAATTACAAAGAACAATATTACTATTAATTAGTGGCTAAATTTTAAAAATTGTAAACTCTTCACGTGTCCCCATATTTTGGATTTCATGTTGAAACAACAACGCGCGTATTAATGTCGGTTTACTGGGACCCACATTTTGTACACGTGGCGGCTGTCGGTGCGCATCTTTTCCCGAAGTTTTGCCATTCGTAAGCGTCTTATAAAAAAAAAATAGGAAAAGAAACAATAAAATATATTTTAAAAAATTGGGACCCTACTTGGCCAAGCATTAGTGGCTACTAATGGTTGGAGACCTACAAATAAGAATTTTGGAAGAAAAAGAAAAGGTAAAGAAAAAAAATAAAATTATCAAAAGGGAAAAGGCCACACTGATTCTGCAGCTTTCAAAGAGGAATTTTTTAAATTAATTTTTACTGGTGTTATTCCAGAATATTTTCCTTTTTTTCTTATCCCACTTTGTTTAATCGTGCTCCTTTCATCTTGTACTAACCTTACTTCGCACTCGGGCTCCGAGCCCGGATTAGTAATACAAAACAACTCCGGGCACGCGGTGCATGACGTCAGTCCGGTATTTGAGCAAATCATACCTGATTCCGAGGATCTCGTCCCAGACCGGATCCGCCCTCCAATTATATCATATCATGATATATCTTATCTCAAGCCTAAAAGCCCAAGGCAAACCTAGATCACCTCAAGGTACGTGCATTATATATATGAGACTATTACTCCTGCAAATCCTAACTTTGGCATCGGAGTCTCTTTTGCAGGTACATCCCCCATCTTGGAGCACCAATACATCAGGCAAAGGAGGCTCACCGATCTTACTGGACGGATCACCTCTACGATCAAATTCCGGTAAGAACACATCTTATTCTAGATTCACTTTCTTTCTTTGCCTAATTAAAGGTATGTAATATATTCTACTTAAGGTATATAAGAATAACTTTTGTGGTTTTAATTAATCCAAAATAATTATTATAATTGATTAGTTTTAAATATGTAACCATATTTTTACTCTTATATTATCTATGGTTGAGAATTTCCTTTGATATAATTTAGAATGAATTAGTGGTCTTTTCTATAAGGTATTTTATAAAATTTGTATTAATTTTAGTTTTTTTTATCAATAATTATGAGAATGTGTTTATCTCTTTAATCTCTTAAATTCATTAATTGTCATTTATCATTTTTATTAATATTGGTGCATAAATTTTTATATGAAATAATTTCTTCATTTTTCCTATAAAATTTAATGATAAAGAGAAATTAATAAATTTTAATTTTATTTTATAAATTTAATAAAATCAACTAATATAATTACTTGTATTAATTTTTGTGATTCAATTAAAAGTGTCATGTAATAAGGATTGGGGGAGTACTAACTAAGAAATAAAGAAACTTTACTTAATAATTACTCCCTTTGTTCTCTAATATAAGTGGAATTTTTTAAATTTTACATATTAAGAAAATTAGTTATCTATATTAAATTTTACTAACCTCATAATATTTTTCTTAAATTGTTATTGTTATAAGTGATAAAAAGAAGTAATGCAACTAAAAAGTCAGAGAAGTATTTTAAACAAAATATCATTAAATAAATAAAAAGTAGTAAAAGAAATTTTATATTTAAGAGAAAAATATGTGTGCACGTTTTTTCCTTGCTTATAATAAAAAATAAAAAGAGTAACTAACAACTTGCATAAGAAAAATAAGTGAGAAGTAATTAATTAGTAACTTTAAGATTCTTTTGCTTAGTCTCACTGAGAGGGGAATATATATGTGTGTTTTTGGAATAACATCTATTCTTAAATTCTAATTCTCTCTGTCCGATATTTAATTTAAATTTATAAAATTAATTTGTAATATAAATATTACTATTTAGTTATATATAGAGAGAGACGGGAATCTATTTTAAAAAATTATAATTTATTTAATACACTGTTTCAGTAATTTAAATGGACAGGTAATTGTAAAATATTTATTTGTTTTTAAAATATTTGACCATTTAATTTAAAATTGTTTAATTTTTAACGTACTTGTGTTTTTCATTTCAATATATATATATTTTAAAAGTTATTAATATATATTAGGCTAACATAGAAT